TGGAGACCACCGGTTAGAGAGAAAGACCTTAAAGAGTTAAACTCTAAGGCACGACTAGAGAATGAAGAAGTGAAGTTTTTTCCTAACATCCGATAGCCTCCTATTCATAAAATGTGGCGCGCTTCACATTTATAAACAAGACTCTACTAGATGTGGTTTGAGACATCCTAAAATAAAACCATCCCATAAACTTCATGCTCTGATACCACGTTTGTCACGACCTAGGGGTACCTCCTAGACGTAACATAGTGTACTTGACCCCGAAGGGGTCGCATACAAGCCTCATAGCATTGCTTGAACATAAGAACATAGGAAAATAGTGCGGAATTTAAAACTTTTCTTTACAATCGAAGTCTTTTATAAAATGAAAAAAAATCTATGACACTATGTCTCAAACCATCTAATTACTTGGAATAAAACTCTTTAATACAAACTTAGGGACACGACCCTTACAAAAGTCTAAAACATGAAAGTAAAGACATAAGGGACATATGGTTGAGCCCTCGAATATAATGAGGACTCACCAATCTTCTTCTTCTTGATCTACTTGAGTCCTAGCCATGAGGATGAAATGCAATATCTCCAAAGCCTACACTTATAGAAAATGTAGAAGAAAGGGTTAGCACGAAAATATACTAAGTATGGAAGCCATTCATAAAAACCTTAAAACATGCATAAAAGGGACATTTTCTTTAAAACCATGATATATGCCACTTCTGAACATTATCATTGAAATAATTGGAGAATGCGACTTATAAAGCAACTCACATACAATTCATCATAGCATACGAAATATCATCATAATTACAAGCATAGTCTCGAACATAAGCATAAGACATATCTCATTCTTTACAATGCATAGTCTCCAATCATAACATAATACATAGTTAAACACCAAGGTCATGTCATCATAAAGTAACCATCACATAAGAAACCTTGATCTCTACTTGTGCAATGCATAGATAGGACCCCATAATCCTATCTACACTAAGTATCACTTCTAGGCCACCATGATTATGCACAACATACCTTAACCCTATTCATAGCCAACACATATAGACGAAGAGCCATTCATGTTCATAATTTTTAATAGGTAAAGTCTTTCATAACAACAACTCATATCATGCATACATAAATTCATATATTTTCATAGTATAAGGAAACCATACCATAACCCCCTTATGAGTCTACTTGTGAAATGTATAAGTGAAGTCCCATACCCCCACTCACACTAAGTAGAGTTCATTAAGAAGTCAAAGGTATAGCCCATAGTCATATTAATGTTCATGTCCATAATTCATAATAAAGCATGCATAACTCACATTCATCATGTCATAAGAGAAACCTACCATACCTACTCTCAAAGCGTACTTGTTCCGTGTTTGAATGAAGTCCCATACCCCCATTCACAATAAGTAGAACATCTTAAGGAACCATAGTAAGTCACCCAAGTACTTTCCCATGTTACTTGTTCATTTTACTTGTTCATTTAGGGAATATTGCCTTAACCGACATAGACCATGTGAGCTACATGGAATCCGGTGTCGTGTAAACCCACACCGAAAGAAGGTGTTCTACTCGCCTAAGGTAGAACTAAATGTATAGCTATAAGGTGGATCCCCTAGCTAAAGTCCTATGTTGGCTAATAGTTTTGGGAAAGGGAGATTGCTTCTAGAAGCCCACCCTATTGTATTTGTGGAGGGGCATCCATCTCATGAGTTCACTTAGATGGCCCAACCTATTGCATTGGCGGAAGGGCCTTTACCTGATTGACCATATCCACTCGGTGCTAAACATTAATTCCCAAATTATACATAATTAGTCTTTGAATTGTATTTACATGTGTGAAGGAATACTTTGCCTTTCGTTCAATACAACCCATAATATAGCTCATAGATTCAATAGGTGAGAATGTACTTTTAACCTTAGAATCATAATTTGTATGTGAGAATAACTTTCACACCAAGATCATGTGCTCTCATGAAAATGGACTATCAATCAACACAATAGGATCATCATGGTCATGTACATTTCATGCATAATAATGTGTAAAGGTGCATATGAGAACTATAATTTCAATTAACACCATTAATACATCATAATCTTGTTTATGCATGGAGTGAGTGTGTGTGATTGTCCTTGCAATGACACAACAACAATATTATCATCATAGACACTTCCCTCTCAAAGTGTTCATAAGCATGTACATAATATCACAATCATGCATATTTCACATATATTGCATTCAATGATCATAGACCATGTAATTCAACACATCTAACATTCATCATAGTAGACATGCACATAATAGTAATTCAAGTAGTTAATTCATTGCATGTATAAGCTCATATACTCATATTGTAGGCTATGTGGGTGAAGTCTTATTCACCATAGGGCCATATACAAACCAACATACATAATGGCTTTTTTCTTGAAGCCTTACACCCTTAGTTTATCCATTTTAGCTTTCACTCTTAAATCCCTAGGAATCCTCTTCATGTTACAAGCCTTACTCTCAAGCAATGCCTTACATGATCATCAAGTATACCTAATTCTCAAGGTAGACTAACCACATGCTTCATTCTTACTCAATTATAGTCATATAGCATCAAGTACACAACCTTAATACTATTCACCCATGATTCATCATGTAAGACCTAATCAAGTCAATTCATGTTCACAAGATTCATTTAGAAGCAATTCATTTCTAGCTGGATTCTTTGGAATTCGACTTAAAATCATCTAAAATCAGTAGTATCATCAATAACAAAAATAATTCAACCTTTAAGAACAAATTTGAAAGGAATCCATGGGGTTGAGTTGAAACCCTAGCTAATTGGGTTTTCTAGAATTGAGTAAAAAGCTTTTGAAAGGGCTCCTTGGGTGTTAGCTTCCTAAAGATGAAGTACTCCCATACCTTAGACTTAGAATCCCATAAAATTCATGTGAAGAAGCTTCCATCTCCACTCCCTAGCTTGATCGCTTCTCTTGGTCTTCAATGGAGGTTCTAGAGAGAAGATTCTTGGAGGGAGGAGTAGTTGGGTTTTGATTTGGGGTCTTGGGTTATAATGAGTTAATGATGTGTTTAATACCTTAAAATACTTTATATATATATGAAATAAACCCATATTAAGCAACCCCTACTTAAAACAAACTAAAAACGAATTACCTAAACTAACCCACCTATTGGCCGACTTTAGGCAGATTGCAGGTGCAATCCACGCCCCATGGACCTACGATCCATCAATTGATATACTTGGCGTGCTGCAGGTTCGTGGTTTTGACCTGCAGCTCCTCAACCAGGCCTTGAACCACGCCCCATGACCTACGGGGCGTCACTCAATCTACTGGCCGTAGATGGCTATCCGTAGGTCACCTATTTGACAGCTTTTTGTGAACTTTGGCTGTTGGGGGTCAGACTTTAGGGTCCTCCCAAGGACCCTTGGTTGGTCTTTGGGGGGTCGTACCTTGACTTTTAACCCATAGACACCTCAACCTAAGCTCTGGAAGTCAATATACAACCTAAAACCAAACACCAAACTCAAAAGCTCACACGTTAGGCTCTAGTTTCACCATTTAGTTTCCAGTAGACTTTAGCTTGGTCTTACTAGTTTTCCGGGTTGTTACAGGAAAAACCTTAATATCCATATGGGGATCAAGGGTTTGATCTAGTATTGATATTATTATTTATAATCCAGATAATTAGGTGTTGTTTATTGATTATCGTACTATTATGATTGTTTGTAGAACAAGAACAAGCAAAAAGAATCCGGAAAGGAAAGAATCAAGTTTCTTAGGGGATTCAAGCTTGTTTCGAGATAGGTGATGGTTGTGATTTCATGTTGTGTGATATATGTTTGTTCTTACTTTATTATTATACATGTATGTGTGCGAATGTAGCATTATTGATCACAGTAATCGTAAATGAAGATAGATGAATAATTGAATGCCATGAATCATGACTTAAATGTATGATTATGAGAATGTACTTTGTGATTGTGATTGTGGCTTGTTGAATGGATCGAGTGTTGTGTTCCGATACACTAACTAGGATCGGTTGCCACGTACTAGCATAATATTGGAACGGGTGTCACGATCCGACACGCTAACTTGGAACGAGTACCACGTATCGGTACACTAACAATTTGGGTGTGGGTTTCATGGAGGACCATTAACTTAACATAACTGTATATCTTGAGAATTGTGAAACTGTTCTTTGTTCGTAAATGATGTTGATATTGTATATGTTCGGTGTATACATGTTATTATTGTGTTGTAATGGCTTATGTGTGTTGCACTTATTGGGATAGACGCGTGATCCTACTAGTACACTGTGGTTGTATACTGATACTACATTTGCTCTTTCTTTGTTGAGTATAGGTCATCTTCAAGCGACTATTGATAGACCTCGTTTAGAAGATCAATGATCGTTTTGAATTCAAAGGTGAGCCTGTTCTTTCAAGCTGCCATGAGTTCTTTTTTTTGCCTATGTCAACATTTTGGACTTAGACTAGTACTTTAGTTAGTCTTATGTTTATTTTGGGGCTGTACCCATTTTCTTACACTTGTTGAACTTTAGATGTTTTGGTACATTGACCTTCAGGTTGTAGGCGTTATTTCTGCAATGTTAGTTTATGGTTTTTAGACTTTTGGAGTTTATGAGAACTCCATCTTTTCTTTAGTATTTAAACCTACTTCCGTATCTTTAAATGCCTTAATTTTTGGTTGAGTTTGTTAGTTTGGGTTGTAGTAATGGTTCTCCCACTGAAGTGTTAGTGTGGATGCCACTCACAACGGTCTGGGTCGTGACAGGTCGTGACATAGTCTTTCAACGTTACAACAATTATTGGAGACAAATGAGAAAAATAAGTGTTCTTCATCCATTTAGTCATAAGAAAGTGAAATTATTTAGTCCAATTCACGAAGATGAAGTCTAAAGAATGATCAAGAAAATATCTCAACAAGCTAGTGCTTCGCAAATCACTAATTTGTGAAATTTAATGATTTCACTAAGTACTACAATTATTTGTAGAGTTGCTTTTGGTATTAGGTTTGATGAAGAAGCACATGAAAAGAGGAAATTTGATGAACTTTTAGAAGAATCTGCAACAATGTTGACTAGCTTTTATGATTCTTTTCTTTATTTAGATTGGATTGATAAATTCATTGGATTGACAAATAGACTTGTGAAGAATTTCAAGAAGTATGATGAGTTTTATGAAGAACTCATTGAGAAGCATCTCGATCCCAATAGTCCAAAATCCATAGAAGGGGACATTCTTGATCTTTTGCTCCAATTGAAGAAAGATAAATTAACACCAATTGATCTCACTTTTGAGGACATAAAAGCAACTGTCATGGTAATCTTCTAATGTATATATATATATATATATATATTATTTTATTTTAATTTTTTTTCCAAAATATATTCATAGCATTGGTAATATTAAGTCAACAACAATTCAGCAGAGTACGACAACCAGAAACGACAGATAACATTCCTAATAAGTCTGTAGCAACAAGCAAAGAGGCACTTCAGCTGTCAAGTTTCTCTGACTTGTCTCTTCTATGAATCCTCAATAATCAGTTCATCAACTCCCCAATCTTCATAACTTATATATATATATATATATATATATATATTATGATTTATCATAAGTATAATTAGTTTTACTCTAACTGTCAACCTATAGTTTTTTTGTCGATTTCTTTATAGAATGTATTACTTGCAGAATCATATACTAGTGCTGCTGCATTACTATGGACAGTGACAGCCTTCATGAAGAATCCAAAAGCTATGAAAACAGTTCAAGAAGAAATCAGAAAATCAGTAAAGAAAGGCGGTATTTTGAATGAATATGAAATCCAAAATCTTCCCTATTTCTATTCCTCCATATCGGATGGCTCCTATAGAACTCAAAGAGATCAATGCTCAGTTTCAGGATCTCTTAGGTAGGGGTTCATCAGACCTAGTGTATAACCTTGGGCTCTCTCATCGTCTTTGTGAAAAAGAAGGACAGTACGATGCACATGTGTAATGATTATAAACAGTTGAATAAGGTGATGGTGAAGAACCGTTATCAATGATCTATTTGACCAACTTCTAGGTGCCACAGTTTTCCGAAGATTTATTGTAAGTTCAGTTACCACCTGTTGAGAATTAGGACATCAGATATCTTAAAGACCGCACTTAGGACTTGATATTGTCACTACAAGTTCATGGTGATGTATTTTGGGTTGACTAATGCCCCTGCCTCCTTCATGGACTTGATGATGCGGGTGTTCATGCCGTATCTTGATTGGTTGGTCATTATGTTCATAGACATTCTAATATACTTGCGGAGCACGAGTGATCATTAGAACCTTCTGCAGATTGTGCTCAAAACATTGAGAGACTAACAACTTTATGCCAGGTTCTCAAAGTGCAACTTTTGGCTTGAGTGTGTAGCACTCTTGGGCTCGTTGTGTCCAAGGATAGTATCATTGTAGATCCGGAGAATATTGAGGCTATTCGCGATTGTTCTAAGCCCACATTGATTACTGTGGTTCAAAGTTTCATCGAATTGGTAGGCTACTACATAGGATTTGTGGAGGACTCCGCAACTATTGTAGAACCTTTGCCCTAATTGACTCGCCTTTATGTTCCTTTTTAGTGGTATGAAGAGTGTGAGATGAGCTATAGGAAGCTCAAGGAGTTTTTGACCACTACTCCCATATTAACTCTTCCATTTCAGAACGAGGGTTCCACGATATATTGTGATGCATTTGGCATTTTTTTGGGTTGTATATTTAAGCAGCAGGGCTGGGTTATTGTTAATACAATAACGCAACTTAAGTTGACTGAGTGAAAATACACCACTCATAACTTGGAGTTGGTGGCGGTAGTTTTTGTTCTTATAATCATGAAGCACTACATGTATGGAGTTCATTGCGAGTTCTACACTGATCACATGAGTCTTCAATACATCATGCGCTAGATGGACCTTAATTTGAGGCAACATCATTGGATTGAGCTTCTCAAGGACTATGAGCTCTATATTCTATATCATCCAGGAAAGGAGAATATCGTAGCGAACGACTTGAGCCGGAAGGCAGTGAGTATGTCTAGTCTAGCCTTCCTTTCTACTATGGAGGGACCTTTAGCTTTGCACAATCAATCCTTATCTAATCAGATGATTACGTTGGATGTTTCAGATTCTAGGCGCGTCTTAGCTATATGTGGGAGTTTAGTCTTCTTTTCTTTATCAGATTTGTGTCATCAATATAAGGATGAGGCCTTGGTTACACTTCTAGATCGGGTGTTAGCAGGTGATGCCGGTTCGACTACCTTAGATTCTGATAGGGTTTTGAGGTTTGCAGGTCATATTTGGTTCCAAGAGTTGGGGTTTGATCTAGCTAATACTTCATGAGGCCCATGATTTTAGATACTTTATCCATTCAGGCACCGCAAAGATGTATCGTGACTTGAGGTAGTAATACTAGTGGGTTAACACAAGAAGAGATATTGCAGACTATGTGTCCCGTTGCCTAAGCCGCCAACAGGTGAAGGCTGAACATTTGAGACTTGGTGGTGAGTTTCAGAGATTACCCATTCTTGAGAGAAAGTGGGATCGGATCACTATGGACTTTTTGGAAGGTTTACCCTGGACTTCTAGAGGTGCTGACAACATTTGGGTTATCATTGATTGATTGAACAAGTCAGCACACTTCATCCCTATTCGGTCTTCATTCAACATCAAGAGGTTGACTCCTATTTACATTTGAGATGTGGTTCTTCTTCATGGCGTTTCAGTTTTTATTGTATCAGATCGGGGTGATCAGTTCACTTCTATCTTTTGGAGGACTATCCAGGAAGAGTTGGGTACTCACATTGAATTTAGCACAACTTTCCACCTGGATACTAATGGCTAGTCGGATCGTACTATTTAGGTTCTCGGGCTTGCATTTTGGAGTTTGGAGGTAAGTGGGACCAATTCTTTCATTTTACGGAGTTTGCGTACAACAGAAGTTACCACTCTAGCATTCAAATGTCCCCATTAGAGGCCTTATATGTTAAGCATTGTCACTCTCCGATCGGTTGGTTTGAGTATACAAAACCTAGCCTGCATTGTATAAACTTGATTTATGAAGCTTTGGACTAGATGAGGGAGATTTAGGACAAGATTTAGACAGCTCAGAGTAGGCACAAAAGTTATGCTAATCATAGGCTACCTTTCAGGTTTTCAGTAGGTGATAGAGTCTTCCTCTGTGTGTCTCCCATAAAAGGTGTGATGAGGTTTGGGAAGTGGGGCAAGGTTAGCCCCAGGTATATTGGGACTTTTGAGATCGTCTGAAAAGTTTGAGAGGTTGCATATGAGTTGGCTCTACCTCCAATATTCTCAGCTATCCACCTAGTTTTCCATGTTTCGATGCTACACCAGTATTTTTGTGATAAGTCGCATGTGCTTCAGTATGATGTAGTAGGGTTGCATGACCATCTAACCTTTGTGGGTGAGCCAATTGCCATTATAGCCAAAGATGTGTGGCGCTTGCATTTGAGAGCCATTCATGTGGTTAAGGTCCGTTAGAGGCATTGTCCAGTTGAGTAGGATACCTGGCTTGTTTGAGCCTTCAAGTTTCATAGACGAAAGTCCTTTTTTTGTAGTGGATGTTATGATGACCTCTGGGTCATTTTTGTGTTTATGCCTCATGTTCATTGTTTAGAGTGTTCCTACAGTGACCTAAGTCATTTATGACTTGCTAAGACTAATTGTTCGATCATCTGGTCATTTGTTTGGTTTTTATGTGAGTTTTAGTGTTTGGGAGATTTTGAACCTTAAACGGTCATATTTGATTAAAAGTTCAAGAAGACTACCTGAGAATCCAATTCTGATGATTATGTTTGCTCTAGAAGGGTCAGTTTAGGCTAGTATCATGGTCGCACAACTCTTGAGACTTTCAGTGCGAGTCTGTGTGACTAGGCATTTTAACTTTCAAGTTAAGGCCTAAATTTGACTTTAGTCAACATTCTGAGTAAACGAGCTTGGATGAGAATTTCGTCAGCGTGGTGAGCTCTGGAATGTTGAGTTTGGTCTAGAACGACCCTTTGTTTATGTCACGACCCAAAGTACACAAGCCACTTTACATATGTATATACAACATAATAGAGAAAAACAAGAAATCTCATAAGAATTAAAGAGTATGACATATAAGCGGAAGGACATCAAAGTCTTAAAAAGCCATTTATTACATCAAAATAGTGGTCGGAACATAATCCGTACACAAAATACAATGTCCAAAACTAGCCACGAACAAAGGAAGATAAGTCGCCAAACCCTACATTAGTAAAACAACGTAGGCACAAGTATGGATTAGTACATGAAGTGTACTAAATATGAGGGGAATGAAATAAAACATGAGACATGATCATAAGGGGACATAATTGGAAACATGATATGCATGACCAAACTAAACATAGTAAAATATTTTAAAAGAGATATCATAAATCATGAACATGGTCAATGCATCTGAAAACATCATGAAAGCTTCATAAAACATTTGAAAGAAACTTAGTTCATTTTGTGGGATATTTACTACTAACTGACATAAACCATATGAGTTATAACATGGAATCCGGTGTTTTTCTCCCACACCGAAAAGAGATGTCATTGATTTCCAAGGCAACAACTTTAAACTTCTAGCTTAGGTGGATCCACTAGCTATGTAACTTAAGACAAACCTACATGGGCACGTAGTTAGAGACAAGGAAATTGCTACTAGAAATCCGATCTCTACTAACAGAAGAGCCTCCATCCCAATATCCTCTCGATGCGAAGTAAAATTCGAACTGAATAGTTATAAACATAAAAGCAACATCATCCATGGAAAATCACAATTAACATACTAATCCAACCTAGAAACATCATAGAGTAGCTCCTTAAACCATGTGTGAGAAACCTTTCACCACTCATGATTCCTTAAGTATGTGAGAAAACCTTTCACAATTCATGTAACCTTTCACCATTTCATTGATGCTTATCTCAAAGAAACCTACATCATAAAGCATTCTTTATCATAAATCATATATATGTTCATGAAAACACATTCATATATTCATAAATCTTCTTCAAGTTCATAGTCAAAATCATGATTAATGCATAAGTTCACATGAAATTAGTTGAAAAGAATGAATTGAGTCTAAATCATCAAAATAATATCATAATCAATCAATTAAACCCATGAGAATTAAATGAAAACCTTAATCAATTTGATTGGAATTGTATTGGAGAATTGAAGAACCCTTGGGGACTCAATGGGTATTTGGAACCCAATGATGAACTCCCTACATACCTTGATTGAAGCCCTAAGTAATGATGAAGAAGTGATATTTTGATCTTTAAAAACCCTAGCTTCCTCTTCCTTGATCTAGAGATAAGATTTTTGGAGAGAACTTTGGAGAGAATTTAGGAATTTGATTGAATGAGGGAGTTGGGGAGATTTCTAAGGGTAAAGGTTAGTTATAGGGCTTAGATTAAGGGTAAAATTGACGTAGTATGGGTATTGGGTGCATAGGAAAATATCCAAATACCCCTCTAAAATAACTGTTGCAGGGGTCCTACAGACCGACCTACATTTCGTATAAACCTCTACGAACCGTACTAGTCATCCGTTGAATACGGGACTTAAAATTCTACCTAGTTTCCACGATTCCCTTCTACGCTACATTCAAAGTTCCACAGACCGTAGGTCCAACTATAGAACCTATGATCCAAAATCCTTCCAAATCTAAAGTCAAGTTCCATGAGACAGTTCTATGACCCGTACAACCTTTAGTAGACCCAAAAGTCAAAATTTTATTCTATGTTTGGGACCTCTTCTAAGACCACTTCCTAAGGAACGTAAGTCTTTCTATGGACCGTCCTGCTGGTCCGTAGGAAAACTTCAGAGATCCAAAAATCAAGGGTCATTTCTACAACTCCTTTCTATAGATCATAGAATTTCTACGGTCCATAAACAGGACCCGTAGACTGGACCTGCAGCTTGCAATGCAACCTTTCCTTTTTCTGAGGTGTTATAATATCTCCTCTTTGGTAACATTTATCCTTGAATGGGACTCAAGCTAGCCTGAATAGAGTAGGAGAGAAACTAACAATCCAACATGAATGGAAATTTCATCAAAATGCACATAAACATAGAGAATCACTCCAAGCTAAATCATAACATTAAAAATCAAGTTTTCATTAACATGCATTCATATGGAAACATGGGAATGACTAAAACACATGAATCCCAAAGATTGAACCATGAGGGATTAATATCTCAAGATGGAGTAGGAACGGAGGATACAAAAACATCATATTGGCTTCGGCCTCCCAAGTAGCACCCTCAACTAATTGATTCCTCCAAGGAACCTTCACAGCAGCTACTTTTTTGTGGACTTGCCAGTCTAAAATCTTAACTAAGACTTCTCCATAGAGAGATTCTCTTTAACTACCAAACCTTCTGAAGGAATAATAGATATCAGATCTCCAACACACTTCTTTAATAAAGAGACATGAAATACCAAATGTACCGATGCTAAGTCATTAGGCAACTTAAGTTCATAGGAAACCTTGCCAATACACGTCAAAATTTTATATGGTCCCACATACCGAGGACTTAGCTTCCCTTTCTTTCCAAATCCCATTACACCCTTCATGGGTGAAATTTTCAAGTAGACTCAATCACTAACATCAAATTTTATTTCTCTTCTCCTCACATCTGAATAAGACTTGTCGACTTTGATCCATTTTAAACCTCTCGCGAATAAGTCGAACCTTTTCCATAGTTTCATACACCAACTCGGTCCATATCAAAGAAACCTCACTGA